TTGAACTGCCAGCCTTCTCGTTAGCAGTCAAATGACTTAGGCACTACACTACCAGAGCTCCCATGCTACCAGACTAGTAGACTAGAAATGAGGGTATTGTCAGAAAATATTAAAAAACAAATGACAAGCTAGGAAAATATTTACAATATATATAATACAAGGTTAATTACTATATGTCAACAAGAACATATTAAAAAATGGATAAAGGAAATAAACAGGTAATTCACCAAACAACAGATCCAAATAAGATATCCAGATAGATAAGTAGACAGGGGAACTTTAACTTCACCAGTAATAAAATAAATGTAAATTAGGGTGAGATAGTTTGTTTTTTGTTTTTTGTTTTTTTTGCCTTTCAAATTGGCAGATTAGAAAAACTGAAAAAATACCACTCAATGCCAGTGAGGGAAAGACAGGGTACTTTAATGAAGCTGTAACCTTTCTGGAGGAAGCTCTGGTAGCATAGTGCCTAAGGCACTTGACTGCTAACTAGAAGGCTGGTGGTTCAAACCCACCAGCCACTCCTCCGAAGGAAGGTTGGGCGATCTACTTCCATAGTGATACTGCCTCGGAAACCCAAGGAGGGGTCTCTATGAGTCGTGTCCGACTCAAGGGCATATAACAACACAACAACCACCTTTCTGGAAAGCAACTTAGCAATTAGTTTCAAGAGCCTTAAAAAAAAATTTCCCTTTGACCTAGTGATTCTACTTATAGAATTCTATCCTAAGGAAATGGAGCCCTGGTGGCATATTGGTTCCAACCCACCAGCTGCTCCACAGGTGAAAGATGAGGCAGTCTACTTCCCTAAAGATTTACAGCCTTGGAAATGGTATGGGGCAGTTCCACCCTGTGCTATAGGGTTGCTATAAGTCAGAATCACTCGATGCAGTGGATTGTTTTTTGTTTTTATCCTAAGAATTAACAGAAATATGCATGAGCAGCACCATTCACAGGAATTGAAAACAAGAAACAATATAGAAAACAATATTCAAACAATGTAATACACTTATTTGATGCAATCATTGAAAATCATAATTTTTTTAAGTAAAAGAAAAGGGTACAATTTAATCTTTATTTACAGGACACTGCAAGATATGAAGTTCCACATAGAAATAAGAAACCCAGTGATAGGAGAGGTTCATACAGTATGTATAGTTTGGAACTATTCAAATATAATTTTGTTATAAAAAGTGCTACATAGCAAATCCCATTTGTCAAGAGTTCTTAGTAGAGAAAACAATAAGACAAAATTATACTAAACATAATACACAACAAACAACGTTATGACTCAGCTGTACAATCTGAAAAGATCAAGGTCCTAGGAGTGCCATCGAGAACTTTGAAGGTATACCCTTGAGAGGTAATTTCTGGCACAGCATTCTGGTGTTCTTTTTCCTCTACAAATATTTCTCAATCAAGCTTACTAAGCCTTGTATATGGACTTGTTTTCATGGTTTTGTAGAGCTTCAATTTTGTCCATGTCTCCACATTTTCAATCATTACACTAAGTTTCTCAGTTTTGAAAAATAGCTATTGTCATTGGGGAAGTACTCATGATATAAAGTGAGGGAGAAAAGAAGTTTAAATGTGTATGCATCCTAGAGAGAGAGCTGGAGATAGAAAGTGAACTGTGCTTTTTTTTTTTTTTTTTTTGGTAATAATAGTAGCAGCTATACTACCAATAATAATTTCAATTGTTACTCTAAGCCAAGCACTAAGTGTTTTGTTTATTTTCTCACTTAATCCTCACAACAATGTAATAAATACTATTATTATCATCCCCACTCTACAGATAAGACAACTGAGGTATTGAGAGGTCAAGCAATATGCTTCCTCTGGTTATATGTTTGTAGTATCGATTTTGTAAATTAAGATGCTGATTCCACTTTTTGCCTGGTTGTTTCATTGCTTAATTTGTCACCTTTGAAATGAATCTGTCTGACCACTGTGTTCAAAATTGCAACCTACCCCTCATCTCCTGGTTATCGTGCTCTATTTTTTTCCATAGTACTTGTCAAGTATATTACAGTTTTCAGGTTCACTATAATTCTTATAGGGAGCTCTGGTAGCATAGTGCCTAAGGCATTTGACTGCTAACCAGAAGGCTGGCGGTTCAAACCCACCAGCCACTCCTCGGAAGGAAGGTTGGGCAATCTACTTCCATAGTGATACAGCCTCGGAAACCTAAGGAGGGGTCGCTATGAATCAGATCTGACTCCATAGCAGTGAGTTTGGTTTGGGGTTGTGGTATTTCTTATGCCCTCCTCCCCATCCTTCCCCCAATCCTGTGTGAGCTCTACTAGGACAAGGACTGTTGTCTGTCTTGCTGATATATCCAACAGCACAAAACAGTCCTAGTACATAGTTGTCATTAGGTGCCCTCCAGTCCATTCTGACTCATAGTGACCCTATGTGACAGAGTAGAGCTGCCTTATAAGGTTTTCTTGGCTGTAATCTTTAGCAGAAGCAGATCATCAAGTCTTTTTGACATGGAGTGGCTGGATGGCTTAGAACTGCCAACCTTTCAGTTAGCAGCCCAGGGACTAATAGTTGTGCCACCAGGGCTCCTTATGCACACAATAGATGCTCAATAAATATTTGAATAAATGAAATTTTAAAAACAGCATGATTCGAACTTTGTATAAACATGAATGCAGATGTGAATGGGGAAACATTTCAAAAGAAATGTTAAAGATGATTCAGGTGATGGTTTTTCTTCTTTAAGTCTTCCTGGTTTTCCCCAAACAGTAAGATTGGAGAAAAGAAAGTTCTAGTGAAATGTACTATTTTATAATGAGGAAAAATGCTATTGAATAGTTTCTTCTAAACCTCAACTAACGTTCATTGCCACTTAAGCAAATTGTTTTTGTTGTAAATTGCATAATGTCTAGTTTTCCTGTAGGAAACGGAAATTTGAGAGGTATTGTCTTTAAATAATAAATTATTGCTTTTAAGTCATCACCTGGGGTTTTTTGCTGGGTAAATATTTCTTAAAGGAATAAAAGCCCTTGACTGGCCAGCCAACCGTGGCATCCCTGGGAAACTTGGCCACCTAGCAACCAGGAGCCAGTAACTAGCAGCCCTGCGCCTTTAATTCCGAATTTTGAGATGAGGGTGGAGAATTAGCCGCTAATCCCGCCCCCTCCGCTGCTCTGGCTGCCGCTGTCCCCTGTAAGGCGAACACCTCGCGCGGGGGATGGAGCCCGGTGCCCACTGGACAGAATGTAAAGGCAGAAACCAACCCCAGGAGGCTGGGGCCCCACGGGGCGCTGGTGGAGGGGGCACGCCGCGGTGCCCAGGGCCTTTCGCCCGGAGGCACCCTGGCCTGGCAGCGCTGGCATGACCAGCCTCGGGGACACACCCGTCCGTCCGCGGTAAAAGGATCAGGTGAGCGCGGCCTTGGTGCTTCCCAGCTAGCGCTGCGGCGTCCACCTGTCCCAGAAGCCGAGAATCGCCGGCCAGCGAAAGGGACTGGCCTCGGTTCCATTCCGGAAGGGAGCCACCATGGCATTAGCCGCGGCCGCAGCCGCTGCGGCCGCCGGGGTGAGCCAGGCAGCGGTGCTGGGCTTTCTGCAGGAGCAGGGCGGGAAGGTGCGCAACTCAGAGCTGCTGAGTCGCTTCAAGCCGCTGCTGGATGCAGGCGACCCTCGCGGCCGCGCCGCCCGCAGGGACCGTTTCAAACAGTTCGTCAACGATGTGGCTGTAGTGAAGGAGCTCGACGGCGTCAAGTTCGTGGTGCTGAGGAAAAAGCCGCGGACCCCTGAGGGGCCGCAGCCCCTGCCCTCCTGCGCCCCCAGCGTTCCCGCCCCAGATGTCACTTCCGTCTCCCTGGGGGCAACCACTGGTCTGAGGGCTCCATCACTGGCATTGCCCCAACGGTCGGAGGAATCACCGGAGGACGTGGTCCCCCCATCAGAGCCACAAGATGTCCCCGAGTCTCGGACCTCTGAGCCACTTGAGCCAAGTGGAGAGCTGGGGAGCTTAGGCTCGGCTCACCAGTCAAAGGGACCCTCTGACGTCCGGGTTCCATCCTCTGAACTGGTCCAGTCTTCCGAGGGACCGTCCGCAGAGGTGACTCAACCACCTAGGGCACAGTCCGAGGCGGCCTCGCCCCCCACAGAGCCTCCAGACCAGGAACCTGGGCCGGGGACGGTCAAAGGACTGCTGCCACCGGCTCCGCGGGCGCCGCCCCCGAAGCCCTGCATGCTGCCGGTGCGCTGCGTCCCGGGCCCCGCTGCGCTCCGAATCCGGGCGGAGGAGCAGGGCCTTCGCCGGCAGCTGTCTGAGGAGCCGAGCCCACGGGACTCCCCGCTATTGTTGCGTCGGCTTTCGGTGGAGGAGTCCAGCCTGGGCCTTAGCCTGGTCCCAGGACGCTCCCCGCACCTAAGGCGCCTTTCGCGCCCAAGCCCGCGCCTGCTGAGCCCAGACAACGAGGAGGTGCCTGCAGCGCCGCCGCCCTCCGCCCTACCCCTGGAGCCAGAGGAGCACGAGTGGCTGGTGCGGGCGGCCGGTGGCCGCTGGACTCACCAGTTACACGGGCTGCTGCTGCGCGACCGCAGCCTGGCAGCCAAACGCGATTTCATGTCGGGCTTCACTGCCCTACACTGGGCGGCCAAGAGCGGCGACCGTGAGATGGCGTTGCAGCTGGTGGAAGTCGCGCGGCGCGGAGGTGCACCGGTCGACGTGAATGCGCGTTCGCATGGTGGTTACACACCACTGCACCTGGCCGCGCTGCACGGCCACGAGGACGCCGTGGTGCTGTTGGTGGTTCGCCTGGGTGCGCAGGTGCACGTGCGCGACCACAGCGGGAGGCGCGCCTACCAATACCTGCGGCCTGGTTCCTCCTACGCGATTCGCCGCCTACTCGGCGACCCGGGCCTCAGCGGCGCGACAGAGCCTGATGACAGCGGGAGTGGTGGCGGCAGCCTTGCGGCCCGGCGCCCGGTGCAGGTGGCCGCCACCATCCTCAGCTCCACCACTAGCGCATTTCTGGGCGTGCTGGCCGACGACCTGATACTCCAGGACCTGGCTCGCGGCTTGAGGAAGTCGGCCTCTGTCAGCAAGTTGTTGGGCACCTCGCCCATGGCTCCACGCAAGAAGACCAAGACCCGCAGCGGCCTTCCGTCCTTTTCAGAAGTCACTCGTCGACCCATTCCAGGGCCATTAGCCGGGTTAGTACCCAGCTTGCCCCCCACAACCTGACAGTCCCTGAGGTGACAGCCTGGTTGATCTCACCGGGCCTTTCCTCCACAATGGAAGTGTGCTCTAGGCCGTGGCCCAGCTCCCACTATATATTCTGTTTCCAACTTTGTCCATCACAGCCTGTTTTACCCAGTTGGGCCTATGCTTCCAAGCTTCTCTGTGAGGCCAGACCTGTCTGCAGAGATGGGATTAGAGGTCTCAATGAGATCCTCCAATGAGGAACTCGAAATCTTTGGAGGACACTTGAAATCTAGGATCAAAGTTTAAGGGGCACCAGCAGGTCTGGCCCCTGGATGAGTTAACTTGATGCTTCTGCATCTACACACTCCCAGACAAGAACTAGAGCAAGGGCAGGGGGCTCTTTAAATATTGGATCATGTTGGGGTTGTTTGTCAGCTTTAAATAGGTGGTGGTTTTGTAATTTGATGCTTTTAATCAGCTTTTACATTAAGATGAGGTAAAGCCACTTTCATAAATCTAACCTTTTGAAATTATATTTTTCCATTTTTAGCCAAAGTGCTCAGACACTTTCAATCTTTTGCTAAGTATTTTGGAATTGTATTAAAAAGAAAAAAGAAAAGGAAGATTAAGATCTAAAGGAAATTAGCCCCAACCAATGAAACACTTAAAAATTAATCTACCTCATTTTAGGCAATCAAGATTCTGGAGAGTCTTGAACACAGAATAACCATTGTGACCATTATGAATGTAACTAATTTCAATTGTACTGTGAATCTTAAATATTAGGAAACAAGCACATCTTAGGACTAAAGCTGATTTAACAAAGAAGGAAAAAGGGTATTTTGGCAAATACTTTTAATTTGTGGTTGTCTTTATAGTGAAATATAAACATGCATGTTTAGCATAGTAGGTAGCTATTTTGATTTGGCATGAATATTTAAATGTGTATTTTAAAAAGTGTGATTTATTTGTGAGTTTCACCATTGTGCCATGCTTCTGAATCTGTGGTTCTCAAATGTGGATGAGCCTTTCGGTGCCAGAGGTGAATATTCAGAGACAAAAATGTTAGCATTCCACCAGAAACATAACTGGTTAAATATTAATGGATACAATTAAGAGCAAAAATTTCATATGAAAGTTCTGCACAGAGAAAAAGTACCTGACATCCATTTTTAAAAAGCCTTTTGAAAGCAAACAATTTCTTATTCCAAAATCGCAAATGCAGAATCTCTTTGCTCAGTGATGTGACTGGGTTGGCTTAATATCTCTGGATGCTTGTTCCTGATCTGTAAATTGAGAAGGTTTGTGGATATTGTCAGCATTTCCCAAGTTCAATACAGTGTAATTTTAATGGCTCTTATTCTGTTTTAAAGATGTGGAATCTATTTGCTCAACCAATCTTTTTTACATCATATTGTAATCATGCTCTGCTTTTGTGACTTGTATTTGTACGTCTGTAGATACCAAATAATTTTGTGTGATACAGAGTAGTTGGAGATCTCCCCTTCCACATATAGAAATAATTTGATGTCAAATTATTTAAGGCAGTCTTATGGAATGTTTTGACTTAAGCATTGAAATAAACAGTCCCCATTTTGTTCCTGTATGTGTGATGGTGTCCTTCTCAAACATTTTACAGCTTTTGCTACTAGATTTTTCTTCAACTTAGTAATTTCTTCCTTTTTCCTTCATCCTTCTGCCCCCTTCAAGCATTCTATTATTAAAAGAGTTTGGATTGCTATGCAATGTAAAGGAGGGCACTACACATTGATATGATAGCCAAGAACTGTAGATAAATGTAGGCCCTAATCCCACCCTTCCCACCTTCCTTGCATGAAACCCTAGCATGTGTAGCTAACCTGCACAAATTATTTTAAAATGCAAATTAATTCTGCATATGCAGAAAAATTGTGGGAGGCAATAATTATAGCAATCTGAGTAGTTGAAGGTCTAGAGGACAGAATAAAATATTAGAGATTTTCCATGGTGAAAGAGAGACCTGACTGAGAAGGGGGACAAAGGTCATAGCTAGAAGTGCAACCGGCCTTGAGAAAGACAAAATCTAAACCAGCAAAACAGTATTAACAATAACTGATATTTATTGCACACTTAAATCAGAAGAGAGTTATTTGAACTACCTGAAGCATCTCTGTGTTTAAAAGCGTGTGCTACACTTAAGCTTTCCAAGTGAAGTAAAACATTTGGCAAGAGATTAGGATCAATAAGCAAGTGTTAGAAACCACTGTTTTCTCCTTGCAGGCTAAGACTTTCACAACATAAGGCAAGGCAGTAGAAAATTATACTTCGATATGTATACATGGAAAATCTTTAAGAACTATATATATATTGTCTAGAAGGAGGTACAGCTTTAGGGAAGGTGTGGTAGTTATGTTGTGTGTCAACTTGGCTGGGCCTGGTTGAGTGGCTGGGCAGCTGGATGTAGTATTCCCCATGATAAGACTGGTAATCAACTCCATGGTGGTATCTACTGGGAGCAGCTGAGTAGCTGCCTTTGGGATGTGGTCTGCTTCCTGTATATAAGGAGAAGCTTTGACAATGGTCTCTAGCCTTTGGCATGCTTGGACCGTGCATGTAGCCATGTCGTTGCTCAGCAGCCTGCTATGCTCTGCCGACCTTGGGACTTACAGTGGACTTAAGTTAATGGCCTACCATGTGGATTGGTAACATTGGGACTGTGCCTTTTTACTTGTCAACCTTGGGGCTTCTCAGCCTCAGCAGCCAGCAGCTGTCTGAGTGAAGAAAAGCCTCTAGCTCCAGTGGGCCGGGAGCAGGAGGCAGAGCTGAGCCCCAAGGTTGAGGGCTTTCACCCAGCCCCTAGAGCCTGGCACTTTGAACTTGGACTTAAAGCCTCCAAATTGTGAAAATAAACTCCTGTTTGTTAAGACCATCCACATTTTGTGGTATATTCTTGTCAGAGTGGCACTAGGTAACCAGAACAGAAGGTATTTCCAGTGACTAACGAAAACAACCAGTTGTAAGTCAAGGCAATTCAGCTAGTTAGAATAGTCATGGGGAGAAGTTAATTGTTAATGTATGAGTCATACCAATAGCAAGCTTTTAAATAAAGTTTTATATTTCCTTTAATGAAGGCTGTTCTTAAGCATGTTTCACGCTGTTAAAGGAGATCCAGGGTATAGATAATGCTTAATAACTTATTTTATTAAATGCCAGGCACGATTCTAAACACTTGTAGCTATTAACCAAAACGCTGTAAAGTGTGTACTATTAGTATCCTCCTTTTAAAGCGAGGAAACTGAAGCCTAGAAAAGCTGCCCAGGCAGAGCTAGGATGCCATCCTGGAGCTAGTCACTAAACTGTCCAGACACAGGAAAGCAGAGTAGCCTCATTCCAGCCCTTGACTCATTTAATGATCTTGACCAAGCTCCAGGTCTCTTCTCTGTGGGACACGAGACTGAAAGTATCTACCCTACTGGCCATAGGGAGGAGCACATGCAATAAGTAGGTAACACTCTTCATGAACCTGAGACATTAGCATGAAGGCCGAGTTGGTCCCATGGGACTGTGTGTGTGTGTGTGTGTGTGTGTGTGTGTGGCTGAATTCCAAAACCAAATAGCATTGACTTGTACGTTTGACTTACAAGAGCACCATTCTCTTACAAGTACTATTAGTATTTGTCTAGAAAAGTAACAACTCTGCTAGGAAAAAATGTTCCTACACAAGTGAAATTATGTCATGTTCTCTGTGTGATATCACTTTGGTGAAGGCAGAAATAATATTTTCTTAACTCACATTCCTTTAGCATCTCTATCCCCACATTCAGTACTTAACCTGTTGCCATTCAGCCAGCTAGACTGAAGCTGGGCCTACCCAGGACTCATCTTCTCCCCCTTTTTTTGGACTTTTCCTGGAATAAATTATTTGGCCATTTAAAACGGCTTTATAAATGGGTTCTCTAATGCGCTCCAGATAGCTTTTTGCCTTGAACTTCTGTGCGAACTTCTTGAACTGTCTGCCAAACCTATGGACTTGAACCTGTGAAAAGGGGAGGTGTCCTCGGGTATGCCTGCAGGTAGGGGGAAATGAGAATGAGAGAGAAATCTTGTTCCAGACCTCTCCCCTAGGGGAAAGAAAATCCTCCTAGTGGGAGGTGGGGGCTGATTTAAGTTTCAGAGACAACAGGAAAACACCCACTGTGACCGTCCAAGCTGTAATCAGGCTGTCTACCTTAACACGACAGATCTTGGAGAGAATTGCTTGCTAACAATTCCCCTACCCCAAGGAGCTCTGGTGGTCCTGCGGCTAGGGCACTGGGCTGCTAATCAAAGGTTGGGGCTCAAACCCAGCAGCAGTCCCCCAGGAGAAAGACGAGGCAGGCTGCTTACTTAAAGATTTGTTGTTGTTGTTATGTGCCGTGGAGTCGGCCCCGACTCATAGCGACCCCTCCTTGGGTTTCCGAGGCAGTATCACTACAGAAGTAGGATTGCCCAACCTTCCTTCCGAGGAGTGGCTGGTGGGTTTGAACCGCCAGCCGTCTGGTTAGCAGGCAAGTGTCTTAGCCACTATGCTACCAGAGCTCCCACTTAAAGATTTACAGCCTTAGAAACCCTATGGGGGGTTGCTGAGTCGGCATCGACTCAATGACAGTGAGTTTTGGGTTCAGTATCCCCCACCCCACCCCCTCAAATTCCCTTTTCACCTCTAGTCTCCGCAGTTCAACCACATTTGACCTAAATTTTCTCTCCTCTCCGAGTCTGATTTAGATGAGAATCAACAGCAGTGAAATTTGTTCTGTCGAGGATCCCCGAGCGTTACGCCAGCGCTCGCGGAGGTACATTTTGTGCAGAGCAGGCTGTTCTAGACAGATTGCGTTTGGGGCCCGGCAGAACATTGCTTCCCTATTCCGTTTCCAATTTATAGTCTGAAGGTAAAAAGTATACTAATTAAATCCATATTAGGAGGAGCAGCGGAGGCGGGCTGAGGCAAGCGCCAGAGGCGGCCGCGGGGCTGCCTGTTACCGAGCAACCGCACAGCCCAAGCCGGCTCTTCGCCCAGGCCA